GTAGATACTCCCCTGACAACAGCAGGAGAGAAAGGATGGAGGCAAGCCATTGGAATGGACATCTGTATCTCCCAAGGAAGGGCAGACCTGTTCAGCACTGTTGCAACTGCAGCTCCAGGGAAGCTGCCCTGACCGATCCCCACTGCCTACCTCAGCTGGCCCCAGGCCACCGTCACACAGGAACTTAGATAGCATCATTCTGAAACCTGAGAATGGTTTGAATAGTGCTTCTGTACCTGGAGGTGTGACATTGGGGTGGCCACCGCCTGTTTCTTCCTCTATGCCCATTCCAAACCAAGACCCTCTTTAGAGTCCATTTGCATAATATCTATTTCTAATTTGCATGTATATAAAAAATCAAAAGTTCTTATTGGGTTAGTAGCTGAACTTGGAAAAATGAGTACCTTAGGATCTTTCTGGTATCCTTGAGTGGTATAAATGGTTAAATCTCTTAGCTGTTGACCAAAAAAGGTTGGAGTTTCAAGACTACCAAGAGGTACCTTGGAAGAAAGGCGGCTTGATGGTCTGCTTCCCAAAACTCAGCCATTGAAAACTTTATGGAGCACAGTTCTACTTTGACACTCATGGGTTACCATGAATTAGACTTGACTAGATGGCAACTGGTTTATTACTAGTTTAGGGTCCTTCTGGATCTTTCAGTCTCTGGTCCCCCAGCCCCTGCTCCTTGCCCTGCATGAGCCTCTGGCCTTACAGTCTCCCTGCTCTCCATTTTTGGAGGTTTCTTGTGGCCACCTGTCTCTGCAGAAGATGGGTCTGTGCCTGCCTCCCTGGATCCAGGCCCCGTGCCCTCCTTTCCTCTTTGTTCCTTTCTCCATCAGGAAGTTTACCCTGCCCAAACCCTGTCCTGCCAGCCTTGCATACGAGTGGGTGAATCTGAATCAGTCATAGCTGATATAGGTACTTCCAGCCCAGGGAGTCACAGCTACGGCCTGAGATCAGGATTGGGTGGACCCTGGGGCCACCAGAAAGAAGGCCATCCTGGCCAATTCCATCTCCATGGCAGCCTGAGTTCTCCCAAACTCTGGTTCCAGATACCAGGCATAGTGGAGGAGAAAAGATTTAGAAGAGAAGCATCTAAGGACCAGGTCACTTCGGAGGGCTTCCTAAAGGAGGAGCTGGTTTGGAAGGAAAAGAGGAAAGAGGCCAGGGAGTAGAGGGGAGGTTCACATCTGGAGAACAGATGCCCAGGCCTTTGGTTCCTGGCAGTTGGTTAGGTAATTAGGGAGAGGGCTAATTAAGGAGGTCCAGGTGTTCATTAAAGTCTCTCTAATTGTGTAGGAGGGAAGCTTGGACAGGACAGTCCTCCATACCTTGGAAGGTGTCAGTTTGGGGCCCTTTGTACCATTCCAGGTACCAGCCACCCTTTCTTTTCAAGACAAGGTTGATTGCATGTTCCTGCCCCACACCTTGCAACAATGTGGAATGGATAGAATGAGAGAAACGGGATTATTGAACAGACTGAACCTTCTTTGCAGGAGGATTATTTGCTAACTAGGAGGAAGGACTATCTACGGCAGGGACTTCTCCTTCTCTGGCCATCTTGGCCAAGAGGTGGGAGCAGCAGTAAGGAAGGGACCCTGGAAAGCATAGAATTATCAAAGTGCTTTGGGCTATCTTGGCAGGGAGTAGAGATAGATGGGGCCTGGTCTCTTTAACCCTGACTTGTCTCTTTCAGAGGATTCTCAGTAGGTCTCTGTGGCTTCCTTGCCTTCTCAGCCCTGATCCCTCTTGCATCCCAGCTCCCCCAGCATGAGGCGGGGGTGGGGGGGGGCGGTGTAGGAGATCAGCCAGGGAGCTGGTTGCCAGGAGACAGTTGCCTGAGCAACCCCATCCTCTCCATCTCCATGTGCTCAGGGCTGCTTCTTAGAAGACTTTAGAGTCTCATCCTCCGGCACCAGCCAACCCCAGAGCGGGAAGGATTGAGAACTGGGGTGGCAGAGGTGGTTGGAGGGTAGATGGTGCCCTCTGGGGCAGCTGCGAGAGGAAAGGTTCTACCTCCACAGGGAATAGAGTAAGAGATGCTGGTACTGCAGCAGGACTGGATGGAAGTTAGACTTCAGAGGGACTTTCAGTGTCACAACAATAAAACATGTTTCCTGAGCTAACTTACAGGAGATTGTTGTTGTTACGTGTCTTCAAATTGGTTCTGACTATAGCAACCCAGTATAGTTTCCTAGGAGCAACTGGTGGGTTTGAACCACCAACTTTGTGGTTAGCAGTCCAATGCTTATCCTACAGCACCACACCAGGAGACAGAGTGATGAAAAAGAAAGATGTGGTTCCTAGCCTCATAAGACTTTTTTCCTAGGGGCTCTTTATCATAAATGCTAGAAAGATAAAAATAGGGTGCCCTGAGTAAATAATTGGGGGAACCAAAGACATGAAGTTGGACTATAGAAATAGCAACTTTTCTGAGGGTCAGGAAAACAAAGAGAAGGCTCTTCCTGAACTTGGGAGAAGAGACCTGTTGGCCATAAGGTGATAGAGGTTAGATCTCAGCAAGAATTTGCTTATAAACAAAGGGCTTCCTGAGAGACAAATAGTAGAGATGTAGGGGCTGTAAGCCCAAGAAGCTCAGTTTTTACTGCATTCACCAGTCTAGAGTGGGGTTTTTAAATCCAGGCCAGAGAATCCTGTTTAAAAAACGAACTCATTCACCTCCCTTGCCACCATTATGCACCCCCTGTCCTCTTTCCTACCAGGCTCACAATACTGAAGCTCTAGATAATATAGAATTTGGATTGCATTGGAAGCAGACAAGCAGAAATCTCAGCCTTTGTAGTCAGGGTTTGGCAGAGATTGGAGTCACAGGCAAGAAATAATGTGACTGGAGCTAGTCTGGGCCCAGGTGTTGAGGGGGTGGAGGGGCAACTCAGGGCTGGTGGGACATGTGTTGGCATTGCCTCAGGTTGGATGTGAGGGCAGATGGTGGAGACTCTGGGTCCATGGAGCATTTTGAGAACAATTGAAAAGAGGAAGAGGGTGCTGGGGTGGCTCCCTGGGGAGAAAATCAAGAGTGATAGAAGTTAGAATGTGGAAGGAAAGGGTTGACAACATTGTTTTTTGTGGATGTCTGCACAGAACAGCAGCTTTCTTTCCAACTCTGCAGCCTGAAAGATGCTGGTGGTGAGGGAAATGGTGTGTGTGTGGAAGGCGGTATTCCTATTCCTGACTTTTCCAAGTCCACAGATTTTCTGTCTTTCCTTTCCCCTCATGGCCAAGATGCCGAGGCTGAACCTTTGCTTCTTTTATGGGACCTTAGGGGCCATATCTAGTGAGGCTGGAAAAGCTCCAGGGAAACTTAGCAGCCATTGGAAATGGGGATACTTGTGAGATGGGAGATTTCCCTAGTTACAGGTATCTTTCTTGTCTGCCCTCAAACATTCCAATGACACTTCTGTCCTGGTTGGTGGGGTGGGGGTTCAGAGTCTGGGGTCTCTTTCCTTGGACTCTGCAGCAAGATATCTGCAGGGGGAGCTTCAGAGAGGAAGGCTGAACTTCCATTGTCCAGATTCATTCCAGGGCCCAACCAGAGTGGCTTTAGAAGCCATGGGTCTTATGCTCATTGCATTCCTCCATCATCTCCTAGAAAGCTCCATCTTTGATTCAAGGACTCCTGAAATTTCAGGGCTGAAGAGACCCTGTAGCCATCTGGTGCCTCCATCCCTCCCTGGGCCTCTCCAGTCCTGGAACGATTACCCAGCCCATGTGAATGGAGTCTGACCATGCCTGGCATCATGCCACTTTTCCATCTCCATACCCCCTCCCATCCTGTGGGACCTCCCAGAGTTGTGTGTCTCTTTCCTATCCTGGCTCTGAAATTGGTAGCCCTGAGTGGGTGGGAGGTGGAGTAAGACAGGGGTGGGTGGGTCCCTCCTCTTAGTGCCTGTATCCTCCTGGCTGCCACTGGCCTCCTCAGTGCATGTCAGCTGGCCCTATATGTCTCCTCTGTGTGCTTTGAGGTGAATACTGTTGGGAAGTGCTAGTCTTAGATTGAGCTAGGATTCTAGGCTTGGGGCCCATTCCTTCAGAGCAGGAGTCAGCAAACTATGGCCCGTGGATCAAATCTGTCTCCTGCCTCTTTTTGTAACTATAAGTTTTATTGGAACACAGCCACACTCAGGCATTTACACATTGTCTACAGCTGCTTTCATGTCATAGAGGCAGATTTAATTCATCACTACAGAGACTATATGGTTTGCAAAGCCTGCAATATTTATTAGATAGCCCTTTATAGAAAAAAAATGTGCTGGCCCCCTGCTCTAAGGGGATAGGTGAGTTGGCTATTTATTTATCTAAAAGAGTAGAACTCATTCTTTAAACAAAAAGTATAGATTGAGACTAATGAGTTAAACAGATTGGCATGGAAGAGCTCTGGTTGAAGTTGGGTAGGGGCTCCGTAGCCCTGGGTGCTACTGTGTGATCTTAGGCCTTAGGGTTTCCTGAGTGGGTGTAAAGTCCACTGCTCTAGATCTGGTCTGATGCGCTCTAATAGGTTGAACCAGGGGTGCCAGGGATACTCACATCCTGGCATCCAGTACACCATGCTAGCCATTCACTAACTGGACAGGTGTTCTCTCAGCACATTCTCGGCACCAGGCTCCAGAATGGGAACCACTATTCTAGGCACAAGTAGCAGCTGGTGAACCCAGCCTGGGTCTGTGAAGAAGAGTAGGGGCTGCAGGGGGCTGGCAAAGGGTAAGGTTCTCTAATACCCAAACTCTAGGGAGCTGCATGCACGCACTCTGACCAGAGACCTTTGAGGCAGTTGTGGCAGTGTGGAAAGAGCCCTCAGTGTGAGGTCAGCCTGTGCTTGACTGTGGCAGGCTGTCACCTCAGCTGCGATTTCCTCATTTGGAGGATGGGGTTGAGATGCTGCCAGCCCCTCAGAGGGGTTCTGTGAGGCTATCCAGTGTGCACAGGGAGCAGGGCTAGGGCTGATGAGGGCTGACAGTCCTCTCGTCATGACCCTCCCCTCCCAGGACGAAGTACAGAAGGTGTCCTGCAGACCATGAACTGATTATTGGCCCCCGATCGTTCATGAACACAGTGTAAGGTGTGCTGACACCCACCACCCAGCAAGCCCTCCCCTCCCTAGCACTGAAGACCCTCGGAGAAGATGGGGAGGAAAAAGATTCAGATCCAGCGAATCACTGATGAACGGAACCGACAGGTAAGGGGATGCCCGGGCCACACAGAGCTAGCGCCCTAAGAGAACTTCCTGGAAGAAGGGGGCTCTCAAAAGTTATTATGGTAGGGGAAGGACTAAGATGGGAAAAGAGGAGCCCTCACCTTCTTGCAGATCTTGTACCCTGTGTTGTAGGACTCTCAGACAGGCTATGTCCCCATCCAGGAGCAATCTGCGAGCCTTAGGCCACACCTGGGCTTTTCCCCCCTTTCCAAAATGAATCTTTCCGTTCTCCCCCAAGGACACCTTCCTATTCTCCCCTGACCTCTTCCCAGCTCTCTGCACGGAGATGTGGAGTTCTGTTCATCTAAATCCCCTCCCTTCAGTGACTTGTCTCAGAGCTGGGTCTTGGCCATGTGTTGATAGAAGGGTGCCTGTCATTCTTTGCCTGAACCAGAGGCCCCAGATGATAGAGAGTGTGTCACCTTGAGAATGAGGGCTCCTGAGGGCAGGGGCTGTATTCTGCTACCTGTAGACTGGGACTTCGGGGCAGGCCTTGACTGAGCCGGACCTGGCTGCCTACCTGCCCGCCTGCAGGTGACATTCACCAAGAGGAAGTTTGGGCTGATGAAGAAGGCATATGAGTTGAGTGTGCTGTGTGACTGCGAGATTGCTCTTATCATCTTCAACCACTCCAACAAGCTGTTCCAGTACGCCAGCACCGACATGGACAAGGTGCTACTCAAGTATACGGAGTACAACGAGCCACACGAGAGCCGCACCAATGCTGACATCATTGAGGTAGGCCCCCACCCATGTGCACCATCCCCCCTCCTACAACCATACACAGAGACCTGCTTGTGCACACTTGCCCCTCCTAGCCCCTCACCTGTGTGCACACACATGCAAACCCACATCCTCTCATAGAAACCCAAGGTGGAAGGAGAGCAGTGTAAATGAACAGGCCAGTGCCAAGGCTTCCTGGCTGTCAGGTGGGGCCAGCACTCTCGCCCCCCACCATCCCTGTCATTCCTGCCATGGCATAACATTTTTCTGCTGCCTTCTCTTCAGTTTCATTTCTCTCTCTTTTGCTCTGAGCTGACTTCTTTTCTTTGTCTCCCTCTTTGTTTCCATCTCTTCTGCTGCGTGTGGTCCCCTGTAACTTTATTTTTTCTTTCAATGAGCCAACATTGTGAGCTGTTGAAGGATACAGGCTTTAGAATCCAGGTCTTTACTGGCTGTGGGCAGGAGTTTAGCCTCCTCGAACCTTCATGTTCTTCCACAAATGGTGTCTAGTGCCTGCTTTGAAGGGTATTGTCTGGACTGAATGAGACAGCCCATTTCTCCGTCTTCACATTCAAGTACAGCACTTTTGTGCTAATGAAGACAGTGCCCAGGAAGCCACTGGCCCATCTTCCTAGAGTAAGAATTTAACTCAAAGATTTGGAGGAAATTCTTCTATTTTTGTACCAGAGAAAATGATTCACACTAGACTAGAATGTAAAATCCATACTCGTTTTAATGACCAGACAAGTATCTTGTAGATACTGGGATGTGGGAGAGGGCAACTTTGAGGTTGACTCCAGGCCCACAAGGTATACCTCTATTTTGTTCAGATCCCCCACTCCCAGTGGATATGTGTGAAATGCTTTAGCGTGAGGACAAGGGTATTGTACAGTGTTGGCCCCCAGTAAGAACTCAGTAAATGCTACAAGGGGCCTTAAAAAAGTTCGTGAGAAAAATTCCATGATTTATTAACTCCATTTCCCATGAACTTTTTGAAGCCCCTTTGAAGTTTCCTCTTTGCCTTTCTATATCATACTTTTTCTATCTCTAGCTCTCTGTGTCCCTATTGCTGCCAATGTGTATCCCTGGGGACCCCCTGCTATCAGTGTCAGCCCTTCTTCTCCTAAACTGAGCCCAGAGATTGAGTTGGGTAAGCCAGCTCTCTGGGGAGCTCTCAGTGCATTCTGACCAGAGCTTGCCAAGGAGTGGACAGCCTCTCAGTCCATTCCCCATGGAACCCCTTCCTCACCTATCACCTCAGAAGTACACAGCTCCCTGCCAGCTGCATCCATTGGGTTGGGCCCACCTCCCACAAAACTCAGGTATTCAAATGTCTCCCCCACCCACCAGATCTCCACACACTATTCCAAGAGTCATTGATAGTGAGGATGGAAGGGTGACACTGAGGAATGGAGATAGGGAACCTTGATAAAGACAGTTGGGGGTAGATATGGGGAGGGTCTTAGAAAAGGACTGGAAGGACCTCAGGGGAAGCTGGCATGGGAGGGACATTCACCCCACTGACAGCAGTGCGGTTACAGACCCTGAGGAAGAAGGGTTTCAACGGCTGCGACAGCCCCGAGCCGGATGGGGAGGACTCACTGGAGCAGAGCCCCCTGCTGGAGGACAAGTACCGGCGCGCCAGTGAGGAGCTCGACGGGCTCTTCCGGCGCTATGGGGTGAGCCCCACTCACTCTCTCTCTGTTGGCCCCCCTTCCGGCCCCTCCCCCCCCCCCCAGGCGCTGCACAAGAAGCACAGGGAATGTGAGAGCCCTGAGGTGGACGAGGTGTTTGCCCTGACCCCCCAGACGGAGGAGAAATATAAAAAGATAGACGAGGAATTTGATAAAATGATGCAGAGTTATAGACTGGCCGTGAGTAGTCGCATGGAGCAGAGCCTCCCTGTGGTGCATGGTGTGGCTTTGCGGCCCAGCCCTCTCAGCTGCCTCTGATGGATGTTCTGCTCTGAGCCATGCTGGGGCTATTGGTGACTACTGAGGAATCTCTGACCTGGTCATGATAAACTTGTGACCCTTGCTGGGATTCATCTGGAATGGAGTGTAAGCCAGGAGAGGCCTGGAGTATGTCCCTCACCAGCAAGCAATGTGTAGATGATGTGAGATACATAGATGACAGGAAAGTAAAAGGTGCTCTTTGTCCAGATCTTTTCTGGGGAGAGAGTCCCTTGGGCTTGTTCTGATGTCCCCACTTTGGGACACGCAGTAGGATTGTTTAGGGGAAGCAGACTGTTATAGGGGAAAGCAGAGAGGTGGAGGTACATTCCCTCTGCAGTAGGCTGGAGGGATGAAAGACCATAAGTTAAATGATGTCCCTGATCCATGGCACAGGCCTTTAACTGCTGTGTGTGTGAGTTTGGGTCTGCACTCAGGTCCTCTAACGTGTTCCTGTGTGTCCTGCCTGGCTGAGGACTAACCCACCTCCACTTGGAGGTTCCAGGTGTCCTGCTCCTGTCTGTACTGAGCAGAGCTGTGTTCTTATTCTCTGGGCCAGAGCTGGATCCCCAGAGCACTCCCACCAACATTCTTCCTTAGAGGGAGTGGCAGGCAGGACTCTTAAGAGGGCCCAGGGTAGAGAGATTGACCTGTTGGCCCTAGGATGCCACAGCCCAGAAACTAGATAAACCTATACCTGCCCACCCAGGCAAAATGGGTCAAGGGTGAGGAACTGACCTGCCCTGACTGTGCCTCTCCATCTTTCTATCCAGTCAGCTGTCCCAGCCCCCAATTTTGCCATGCCTGTCACGGTACCCGTGTCCAATCAGAGCTCACTTCAGTTCAGCAATCCCGGCGGCTCCCTGGTCACCCCTTCCCTGGTGACGTCATCCCTCACGGATCCTCGACTCCTATCTCCTCAGCAGCCAGCGCTGCAGAGGAACAGCGTGTCTCCTGGCCTGCCCCAGCGACCAGCCAGTGCAGGTGAGTGGACTGGTAGGTACATAGGTGAGACAGGTAGGGACTTCGTGATTCTGTTCTCAATAACTGCTATTTTCCCTCCCCCACCATAGCATTTCTCCATTTGTGTGGCTCTTGAGGGAAGGGACTGTGACTCATTTTCCTGGTGTCCTCTTCCCCCTGTTGAGTCCCCAGTACTCACTTTGGAAGCAGGAAATCCTGTCAGCTCATAATGGTTCTGTTGTACCTCTAGGGGCCATGCTTGGGGGAGACCTCAGCAATGCTAACGGAGCCTGCCCCAGCCCTGTTGGTAAGTACAACTGCTTTTCTACCTGGGGATGGGGCTGGGCCCAAGGATCCCAAAAGACATAGATAGGAGAGGAGGGTGCTTCCAGGACTTAAGGTGGATATAGATTCAAGATGTCTAAGTTCCTGGATTTATTATCTGTAGCGGTGACTGGTGGGGATAATCTAAAGTGATGTAGGCTCAGGGAATTCTGGGCAAATTGTAGGCTTGAACTAACATTTCTAGCTGAAGGGGAAGATCCAGGTAGTTCCATCTGAGTCGGGAGTAGTAGTGTATGGTTGAGAGCTAGAGGATGGAATATCTGATGTTAGCAGCCAGATGGACAGTACGCATGGACAAACACATACATGCATTGTACATTCTCACTGTCACAGAATTGTCCAGGCATCAGCTGTGCACTTGTGATCTTAGCATCCATAAGGCACAGAGGAAAGGCTGCCTGTCCCTACCCAGCAGCTGACAGCCCCTCCTACCCTGTGCCGCTGTCCAGCGGGATGACTATGATTTTGAATGTCACCATTGACGTCACCCTGACATTCCTGCCATTCTCAGAGTGATCCGGGAACTGGGATAGAGGCAGCCACACGCTTCCGGGGCACAACGTGCTTTTAGGGGACAAAGCAAAGTGGCATTTCTGGCAGTAGTCACCCCACATGCACAGCCTTTAGAATCCCCTGGCTTGGCCTCAGGTGCCATTATAGCACCTCCCTGGCAGTAATTGTGCACTCAGGTCAGAAAATTGGGGCGGGTAGTTGGTGAATAGCCCTCCCTCTCCAGGGAGCGGGCCAGAGAAATGCCTGCACACCTGAAGGAAGCAGTGAAACATAGAGGTCTTTGAGCCCAGCTAGTGGAAAGTGAGTAAGAGCCCTGGCTTGGCTTCCAGCCATCTGTATGACCCTGGACAAGTCACTACACCTCTGCCCACCAGGCCTCAAGTTTCCTCCTCCTTAAACAGGGCTAGTAATACATGCCTCGTCCATCTTGCAGGGTTAGTGTGAGGATTAAATGAGATAATGTCTATGAGAAAACCCTTTGTAGATTGTGGACTGTGGAAGAAATATACAAGATGGTTATTATGGCTGCTATTGTAGTCTAATTATGGTGGCGGCGGCTGTGTGATCACTGTCCCTGTGCCAGTAACACCACCACCACCAGCTAATGGCTCATGTCCCCGAATCTGTTAGCTGCTTGTCATGTGCTGATCTAAATCACAGCCTCCCAGCTTGTGGAGAGAGAGCAGTCTGAGTGGTTGGTGATTTGTCCTGGTGTCCAGGATCCTCGCTGAGCCCAGATTCTAGGCCTCTTACTCTTCCATCGTGGGTGGTTGTGGGCCGCCTCCATTGGGAGAAGATTGTGGAATCTGAAGGTGCTGACCTTCCTCTGTGGAGACCGAAGGAGAGAAAAGGTGGGGAGAGGACTGGCTAAAGAAGAACCTCTGTCCCTTGTGGGGGACAGGAGGTAATGACTGGATCCAAGTCCTTCTTACCAACCTCAGAGCGTCCCCCTGTCCATCCTGGCCCACACATGTAGCAGTGAGGTAGGAGGCTGAACCTAGTGACTGGGGTGTGAAAGGTGTTTTCTTAGTCTTATTTCCAAGGCAGGATGATTTCAGGGGGAAGGCTGATAGCTCAGCACTATAGCTTGAGTCTTGCTTTAGGAGGGTCGGGTTGATAGGAGTGAGGCCAGGGAGGCATTAACAGGACTAGGGATAGGCCCATGCTTTCCATTTTATCCTCCTCTTTTCACTTCTCCAGGGAATGGCTATGTCAGTGCACGGGCTTCCCCTGGCCTCCTCCCTGTGGCCAATGGCAACAGTCTCAACAAAGTCATACCTGCCAAGTCTCCGCCCCCACCCACCCACAGCGCCCAGCTTGGGGCCCCCAGCCGCAAGCCTGACCTTCGGGTCATCACTTCCCAGGGAGGAAAGGGATTAATGCATCACTTGGTGAGTGGATAGATGGCCCAGGTAGGGAACATGGGTATGGGGCGAGAGGACTAGGATTGAGCAGATCTCTCACAGGAGAGATGAAGTTTAACCTTCCAGCAGTTAGGACTTCCAAGCATGGCTTTTCATGAGCTCCTTTTCCCCAGATGACCTAATGAGGTTGGTACATAGAAGAACCAGCCTCCCAGGAGGTGGGAGACAAGATTCTATGATGCTGGGAGGATGGTGGAAGAGGCTTGCCATTGCAGCAGGAAGATGGGATGAAATTGTGAGGGTTTCCTAATGGGTGGAGACTGAGAGACAGCATCTTCTGCATTATCAGTCAGGACAGTGAAGATGTCTTTCCTTAGTTGGGGGCTTCCCTAGCTTCCCTCTGTTTTCATGTGCTCTTTCCTGAAGCAAGCCAGCATGCTCCTCTGCAAAGAGGTGGATGGGGTGACTATAGGGACCTTTGTGTGTGTGGGTGTGTGTTTAGGGGAGGGCAGGCAGGGGCCAGACACTCAATCATCCCCTTGGTTTTATTTCTGCTCCCAGACTGAGGACCATTTAGATTTGGTAAGTGAGGCTGTGAGATGTTTGCTGTGGCTTTGAATTCTGGGTCAGCCCATTGCTCTGCAGTCACCTAGCATGGAGTATGTGTGTGTCCTTGCCCTGTCTCCTGTTTGTATAGTGTGTTGTTGGTTCGTTCAGTTACTTGCCAGAGGCTGTGCTAGTGCCAAACAGAATATAAAGGTGAATAGGGTGGGAGTGCAGGGGTTAGACATGCATGTGTGTGCCCCAGTATATACAGATTGTCTTCATGGAGTGCCGCATTTGTGCAGACGTACTTTTGCTATGTGTATACTTAATGTGTGTGCTAGGAGAGTGGGCCAGCCCCAGGCCTCAGAAATCCCACCTGATTTGTTCCAGGATGCCTGGATTCGGCCCATGAACTAACTATATACAGGGCTGGATCCTATCTGCCACCTTAACAGTATTCAGGCCCACAGAGCTTTCTTGAATCAAAGACAGGGACCTCCTTAGGAGGGATGCTGTCTGGACAGCAGAATTGATTTTCCAGGGAGCTGAGGCCAAGAAACAGTCAGAATGTCCTTTCTGGTGGCGGGGCCTCCCTTCCCTCCCTTTCTGCTGCGCTCTTTCCTGTACACAGCCCAGTTCTCAGGCACTCGGAGTCATACACCGGCGCATGCTCACTCTCTCTTGCGCTCTCACACACTCTTACTCTCACTCTCTTTCTCATATACTCACCCTCAGCCAGGAGTGGGGCGGGGGGCTCCTCCCTCCCCAGCTCTCTGACAGTAGGCCAGAGAGGCTGGAAAAGGCAGGCAGACTTTGGCGGCCAACAAAGCAGCAGTTTCGGCCCCAGCGTGGAGCTGGAATAAACAAGTGACTCAGCGGCAGATGGAGCTGACAGCCTCACACACGTGTGTGCATACACGCAGGCACACGCCACGCCAGGCCCCGCATTCCCCTCACACATGCCAGCACACATCTCCCAGGGTGTGCGCTACAGTGTAATGGGTGGAGAGGAGACTCCAGAGGGACCACACAGGAGAAGAGAAGTGTCTGTAGCCCTTCCCTCATACTGCCCAAGGTGGCTGGACCCTGTGTTTTGTTGGGGCTACAGAGCCGAATGTGTGGCCTCCTGTTTGCATGAGTGTAGGAGTGAATGAATCTATGTGCATGTTTTTCTCCATGAATCTCATTGTCTCTTAGAATGCACCAGCGTGTGTTTGTGTATCTGTGCGGTCCCCCACTCAAAGGGACCTCACCTTGGCCTTGGAATTCAGGGACCCAGCTTAGCCTTGGGGTGGAAGGCCAGGATGAGGCAGCACACTCACCTGCCATTTCCTAACAGACACTTCTTTTCTATAGAACAATGCCCAGCGCCTTGGGGTCTCCCAGTCTACCCACGCACTTACCACCCCAGTGGTTTCCGTGGCAACACCAAGTTTACTCAGCCAGGGCCTCCCCTTCTCTTCCATGCCCACCGCCTACAACACAGGTGAGTGTTCATGTGACATGTATATGTGTGCACTTGTACTTGAGGCAGAGGAGGGACATTAGATATTCCTTAGGGAAGGCCCCAATCTGATGAAGACCCTTGATATAATGAGGGTTACCAGATTTAGCAAATAAAAATGTAAGAGGCCCGATTAACTTGAATTTCAAATAAAAACCACAAATAGTTTTTTAGTGTATGTTCCACACTAAAAAATAATATGTTGTTTTATCTGAAATTAAAACTTCTATTTCTAATGTAAAGCCTCCTGTCTGAGGAGGAAACAGGACAAGGGTGGATTGAGCAGATGGTTCGGGCTCTAGACTCCAGAATTGGGGAATGGGGAAAGGAACGTGGTCAGTTCAGCAAGACATCCTGAGGAACATGAAGGAATGAGGAAGAGAAGAGCCGGGAGAGGGCGGAGACCAGAGGGGAAGCCTGCTCAGGGTAGATTTGCCCAGTTTCTTAGAAGCACCTTGCAGGGGCTTTAGAGCAAGGTGGAGAAGGGGGTCTCTTGGCCTGATGATGCCTTGGTGGTGGAGTAGGAAAAAAGGAGGAAGACTGGTGAAGGTTGGAAAGGGCGAATCTGAAGGTGAAGTCATCAGAGGACATGGGAACAGTCTTTGGGTAGGAGAATTCAGACAGGACACCCAGTCCCCGGGCTGTCTTGGGTCCCCAGGGCTGTCGTCGTCTCTGTCACCCACTTAAACCTGCCTGGCTGCCCAGGAACAGTCTGTGACACTCTGGGCCTTCCTTGCCTGCACACCAAACTTCTGTGTCAAGAAAGACTTCTGAATGGCAAGGCCTTGTCACCTTGTTCCCAGAGCATTTATGTAGCTAGGAACCTGGGCTAGCTCCAGCTGAAGAGACCTGCTTTCCTCCAGGTTCCCACATGTGAATGGTTTAGGTTGAGTATGTTCCTGTGATGAGATTAGCCTGGAATAAAAGATCCCTAAACTTCCCCTGAAACCCCCATCCTAGAATCGAACCATGCTAAGTTCCATATACTAGTACAAGTGTCCAGAAAACCCCACTGCTTAGGGAAACCTCTTGTGGCAGGTAAGAGAACTGGAGGAACTCATACTGAGTGACCAGACTCTAGCATGGCTGTCTGTGTCTCTTGCTTATGCGCCCACTTGTGTACTCACCCCCAGATTACTACGTCCTCAGGCAGCTTCAGAGAGGACCGCTTCAGATGGCCGCACCCTGTGGGCTGTCTCCTCATGTGTGAGAGGTGTGGGTGGACAGGAGGGCTCTGAGGTTCTTCCAGTCCTGCCATCTGAGACTTTGGGACCCAACTAGAAAAGCCGGCTTCCTGAGGTGGGCAAGGTGGGGGCGGTGGCAAGGACTACACAGATGACCTTCCTTGAGCTGTTATTCGGGAATCCCAGAATGGTGGGGTTTTTCTTGTGATGTCTGAGTCACCATTTTCCTGTGCCCCACTGCCAGTCTTTTTGAAGCAGTGGAAAGGTTGGTTGGTGTCAGTAAGACCAGAACAGGCCCTAAGAAGGCCAGCCTTGAGAGTCTTGAGTTGTCAGCCTGGTTTGAAAGGTTCTGACCCTGGGCCTGTCCTTGGAGCCCTGCTGGGAAGTGTATGGGATTTCTCACATCCTATCATAAATGAGGGGCTCCAGTTCTTCTTGCTACAGGGATAGGTAAGCAGACCTCAATTTAAACAACAGGTGTTTTCAGGTGACCCTAGGTGTATAAACAAAAGCCCAACGAACACATTGCTATTTAGTTGTTCACTGTTTACAGTCTTTGGCCCTAGTTCAAGTTCCGGCTGGGGGTGATGGTAATGTCTTCGGTAAGGGACAGGCCTGGCCCCTTGTTGACACTGGCTGAGAAGTCTGGCTGTGGTCACCCTGATAGCAGACCGAGTGGGCTGCCAGGTGGCCTCTGGACCACATTCCTCCTCCTGGTTTGAGGGAGTTGGAGTGGGGTGGGAACAGTGCAGGTCTGGGGGTTCTCGCCCCTTCACTTGCTGAGGGGCTTTGGGCAAGGTGCTGCACTGCCTTGGGCTTGGCTTCCTTATTTGTATATCCAGGGTTGTTAATACTTGATCCTAGGGACCCCTTTCTGTCCTTGCTCTGCCTTTTAAATATCAACTTAGCAGAACCCTGGCTTATGTTACAAGACCAGAGGCAGACCTAGATCATCTCTAGGGTGAGATTTAAAGGTAATAAAGAGACCTGTATTCTAGTCTTGGCTGTGCCCAGGGCTTGCTTTGTGACCGAGGACATGTTGCCTCATTTGTAAAGGAATGATACTACTAGGCAAATTTTTTGAATTGTTATTATGTGCCAAACACTGGTCTGCGTGCTTTATGTGTGTTAGCTCACAACAGTTAATTGGCATATGCAGAATGATTGCTTCCAATTTATAGGCAGAGGATCAGTAACTTGCCCAAGGTCATATGACCCATAAATGAGGTAGCCAGGAAGTTTGACTTTAGAACTCATGCCTTTAACTCGCAGCTATATTGCAGAGATAATACTACCTTCCTTGCACAGAAACAAAGGGCTGGAGCAAGTGACCCTTTGGGTCATTTGGATATAGCGTAAGGATATAGCGTTGGGATGATTGGGAAATGTGGTCTCCCACCATCACAATGCAGTCTCCCTCTGTTCCTCAAGAATGAAATTGTCAAAACTGTTCCAAACAGGATGCAACATGAACTATAACACTGCTGTGTAAATTGTGGAACGTTGCATGGTACTGTTTATTCTATAACAGCATAAACATCAAAGTTCCTTCATTAAGATAGAAAATTTAAAAAATAATGAGTACCATCTCATGAGGGTATTTGCCAGAACCTTGTCTAGTTGTGCCCGGGCACGTCTCCCTTGCAGTCTCTCTGCTATTTGTTATTATTGGTGTTTTTGTTGGGACACCTTTTATCAGTTGGCCAGGTAGCCGGCTTCTAAATTTCATCTTCTTTTTATTTATTTTAAGGTTTTTATTGTGGTTGAGTGAAAGTTTACAGGGCGTATCATCAGTTTTACATTCAATAAATCATATACCTTGTTTCATTACAATGATTATAATCCCCTCCATGAACCATCAGTTAACAGTATTTCTATCTATTCACTTTATCTTTTTTTAAAAAACAAAACAGAAAAAAACCACTCAAGCATATATAATAATTTACACCTCCAAAGGGTACATTCTGCAAGTCTGCCTCCTGGTCACCAGCTCTTAGTCCCTCTCTTCCCATGAATCTAGAGTCCTCAGCTGCTCCCCCTCTCTATGACCCCATCTCTGCCTCAGTCTCTGGCATCACTGCTTCTCTGGATAAGGTCCTGCATTCTGCTTGTGCTCTTCTCCCTTGATGATCCTAGGGTCCTCTGTTTCTGGACTGGATTAACCACTCCCTGTTTTTGTTACAAAACATCTACCTTTATAACTGTGACAGTCACAATTAGTCATGATAACAGTTATTCACTGTTGAATCTTACAAATCTTATCCCCATCTCTTCACCAGACCCATCTAGACAAGATGAAAACTATTCAGGGGGGACTCTGTCTTCCCCCCCATACTCTTAAACTAAACTCCCTCTAGAAACCTTGTAAGCCAGTCACTTCATGCCTTTATCACCCCCTCATTTTAGGTAGCCAATGTATAAGTTGCCCATCCCTATCTACCCTGTGTACAGAGGGGATAGCATTGATACTTGATGTGGAGACTCCTTCCCTCTCTGTTGGTATTTAGAGTTACTACCTCCATGACTTTAGGTGAGATTCATCAAATTGTAACAATTTACCCTTGTTTTCTTTATCAAAAACTATTTTGTTTTGTAATCTTCCTCTAGTCGAGTTCTGATTATCAAGCCATCGAGGCTAGGTCAAATGGGTACTTTCTGCAAGTTTTAGTGTTCTTGTGCATCTCCCCTCACTTCATATCAGCTGGATGCCTCACTCTCAGCGCTAGCCCTTTGTGGCTGTGTCCTTGCCTATGGGCTCAAGTGCCCCCAGGTCTTATCACGCTTTGGACCAACCAGCCCTTCCTCTTCTGTCTCTCATCTCCAGGTCACTGGGAGTCTATGGACTGTGGTTTAACTCAGCCCATTTCTTCATTGCTACCTTTCCCCTTCTTTCATTCACCAGTAGACATGTAAGCTCTTCAAGCTTACATGCCTGTTCATGTGTTCCCTTTGAGTTTCATTCTTAGAGGGGAGTTAGTCCTGAAGGATCTTGATTGCTTGCCTTGATGGCTTCCTGGTGAGCAGCTTGCTTATTCTTGTAGTAGCTAGTCATGCTGACATTTTTGTATTGGGTTTTTCCTGATGATCTTTCTTGGAAGATGTATCTTCTGTTTCTCTAGCTGTTCCAGGCTGGTCTGCTTGTCCTTGCTAGTGGGAATGTCCCACCTCATAATGTTCTAGCTGGGACTCAGGATTCCACCTAAGTTTATATACTCTGCAAAGGCTTTGCAAGAGACCTATTTCACAGGGCAAGTTCTAGAACCCCTTTTAGGTATTACAATCAGTTATAGGCTGAAGACGGGCTTACAAGCTTTCTGTAATCATGTGTCCCAACATTCCTTTTCTATCTCACCCAAATGTCTGTTTTACAATAGAAGGCAAGGAAAACCTATATTCATAAGACAGTCAAGCATTTTAGTATTATTTCTCCTCTTCAAACTGCCTAGATCCCTGTATCCCAGATCCCTGTTGTTCCAAGGTTGAGCATGCATCACTATTTACCTCTGTCCCACTTAGGCCATATAAACCTGTCTCAGTGTTCCCCTATCTATCTTGTTCTTCCGCCACCTCCCCCTACTTGTATTGCCCTCCCAAACACCTGAACTAAACCCCCCACCCCAACCCCACTGTTGTGGTTACCTTATATTCCATTAATTTTTCCCTCCATTTAAGACAGTCTATTTTATCCTGTAATCTACCTGACCTTCCCACCACCTGAATCTCTGTTTCTCTGTATCTTCTTTCACATTGTAATTGTTTTGATCATAGACTGACCCCGCCCCCAGATCCTCTGTTATT